AGATCTTGGGTTGAATCGTGCTCTAACCAAGGTTTTGATCTCACACTTTTGCAAGCTTTTTTCAATTCTGGTTTTGCCGTTTCTGCAGTGCTTAGCTCGTGTTCTTGATGTGTATGGCTTGTGTGTGTATAAGGGAATGAATTAGGTCAAGAGTTGGGCTTTCAATCCATGTGCATTCAAGGTTTGGGATTTGATATGATCACCATTGATAAAGTTTCCAAAATTGTACTAAATCTGATTTTTTGTGCTCAATAATGCTTGATACGAATTTGATTATGTAAATCTTGTTAATTGAAAGCTGTAATGATCAAAAAGATATCATCCCATCAATTTTTGGATTTTATTTGAATTAATATTGATTTAAAATGAATTAAATCAATAAAAATAAAATAAAATAGAAAAATAAATGATTGGTCATGAAATTAAAGATAGGACACGTGTGTGGTGTGATAAGACCAAATCAAGTGGAAAAAAGTGGGCCCTTTTGTAAAAAATTGGAGTTTTGAGGATAGTTGACTTTTGGCACTTTTGGAAAAATGCCCAACTTCAACAATGTATAACTTCTTCAATTTTGAACTTTTGGAGGTGTTCTTAGACTTTTTAGAAACCTTGAGATGTCCTATAACCAACCCTTTTGGTCTCATATCATTTTTATGTTCCATGCTCAAGTTATAAGCTTTGGCAAAAAAGGTGTTTTTGTTGACTTTCAAAAATGACCTATAATGTCCAAATTTGTAACTTTTTGTGAGAGCATTTCTTGATCTTGGGGTGTGAAGATGGATTGTAGGAAATTGCATCCTCTTCAAAATGAGATTTGGATGGGTCATTTCTCATAAAGTATGAGAATGTTATGCTTGGTAAAAGTTGAGTTGACTTTTCCTACAAAACCCTAATTTAGCAACTTTTGAATCTTGATGAATCTTGAGCAATCCTTGATGACCATAGTGTTACATGCATTCAAGGATGCCTTCTCCAAGGCTGCCACCTAGCATACGCCTACTCTGCACCTACACTGTAACCTGTAAGTCTCCTCCCATCACCTTCAATAGTGTTACATGCATTCAGGCATGCCTTCTCCAAGGTTGTCACCTAGCTTGCGCCTACTCTGCAAACCATGTCACCTCTTATTCGCCAATGGGGATGGTGACACCTTTCATTTTTGTACTCTTTCGCCAAGTCCAATGGCGCCTCCCTTCACGTCCAATAGTGTTACATGCATTCAGGGATGCCTTCTCCAAGGCTGCCACCTAGCCTGCGTCTACTCTGCACCTACACTGTAACCTGTAAGTCTCCTCCCATCACCTCCAATAGTGTTACATGCATTCAGGCATGCCTTCTCCAAGGTTGTCACCTAGCCTGCACCTGCTCTGCAAACCATGCCACCTCTTATTCGCTAATGGGGATGGCGACACCTTTCATTTTTGTACTCTTTCACCAAGTCCAATGGCGCCTCCCTTCACGTCTAATAGTGTTACATGCATTCAGGCATGCATTCTCCAAGGCTGTCACCTAGCCTGCGCCTACTTTGCACCTACACTGTAACCTGTAAGTATCCTTTCATCACCTCCAATAGTGTTACATGCATTCAGGCATGCCTTCTCCAAGGATGTCACCTAGCCTGCGCCTACTCTACAACCCATGCCACCTCTTATTCGCCAATGGGGATGGCGACACCTTTCATTTTTGTACTCTTTCGCCAAGTCCAATGACGCCTCCCTTCATGTCCAATCGTGTTACATGCATACAGATATGCCTTCTCCAAGGCTGCCACCTAGCTTGTGCCTACACTGCAAGAGTGACACTTATCATGCATGCATGCACCAGCTACCATTTCACTTACTCTATGAATTTTTTTTGCCTATAAATACAGAGCATAACATACTTCTCTCGCACCCACTACCGTCTCACTCTCTGCTACAAACTCTTTCATAATCTCTTACAATTTCTAAGTCTTTCATAATCTCAGGCATTTTCAACAATGGCTCTTCTCACAATGGCCGATTCTCACAGAGGCAAAAATGAAATCAAGGAAAAATGTACATTTTATGGTTGCTCTTTTTTACTTCAAGCCTGGGGTTGGTGGAGGATGGAGTCCCTAAACCCCGTCAACAACAACACATTCGTTTTCCCGTACGCAACAAAGTAAGTCATCAAGTTATATCATTTATTACTATTCATCTCTTCACCAAAAGATATGATAAAAATAAAATATTTTTCATTTCCTTTAGGTATTGCGTGAGGGGTATGGATTACGGCAAGAATCCAAGATTCAATGTTGCACTATACCACAATCTATTGGATCACCTAGGCCCAGATGATGTACGTCGTACTTTTCAACTTTTCTACTTTTAAATTATTTATATATTACATTTTCATTAACCTGATTTAATTTTATGCGCAGTTTGTCTGGAGACCATATTTGAGTTTGGGCCATGAACCAAACCCCGAGGATGCAACAATTTGGAGCGCCAAGACTGCAATCATACGGTTCAATGTTGTGGAGATGCACCACAGCGACCGTGTGAAGATGCAGTTCAGAATGCATCAAGAGATACCCAGTGATCCGACTTGTTTGTCCCCGTGGCATCTCAAAAGGGTCGACGCCCAATGGGGTCTTACCAACTGGAAAGACTTTGCTCCAAAATGGTGTAAGATGTGGCAGAGGCGTCACCGACATGTCTTGCAATTCCCGGTTTTCCTCAATCATGGTAATATGCGACACACAGATCAGTATTTATCTTGGTACAGGTCGGTTAGTAACTCTGAAATGCAGGTGTCTCATCCAAGGTATTTGGTTGACCCACGAACACAATGGGCACAACCTTCATTTCCCCAACAACAAACCCAACACACATCAACCTCACACCAATCCCCCAGACGAAACAGAACCACAAACACCCAACCACAGTCGCGACCACAATACAATCACCCAAATGCCCCACAACCAACCACAATCACCACCTCAGTACCAATACTCCCATATGCCTCACACCCAACCGCAATTCCAATCACAATACCAACACACCCGCATACGCCACACACAATTTCAGTCTTCTGTATATCCCAATATGGGCCCCTCAACATCCAACCTTAGCCCTGATCTGGGAATGTCGGAAGATTATGAACCAACCGACAAAACTTACCATCAACCACAGTATCACCAAACCACCCAACATCCTCAATACTAAACACCTCAAGATCCATTTCCTTTCTATCCCCGTACTCAGACGATCAATGCTACAGACCAACCATGGAACCCCACCCACCGTCAACACGACCAAACTTTGAGGGTATGAGTAACCGACTGTACCAAAGCGGATCTTCTAGATATGGAGATCTGACTGATTTCATGGATCCGGAACGCATTGACTTCGCTGGACCATCGACCCTGCCACAGCAGGAAACGCGACGACACCCAGCACGGGAAAGGCGAGGACGGGGATGCGGAACCGGGGGTCATTAGTGAGTTCCGGGGGACCACTGATTAATCTGTTTTTTTTATTTAATCTGTTTTTTTTATGTAATACTTATGGGTGTAATCATTTTTTGTAAATAAAAAGTCAATTTTGTTGATCCTATATCGAATACGTAACTCACCGGATTGAAAAATAAAACGCGAAAATTGCCCTAGCAAATGCACTAAGGCGCCATCTCACTTGGCTTAGGGCAAGCCCTAAGCACCTAGGCGCCAAGTGAGATGGCGTCTCCCTTTAAAAAGTAGGTGTAGGCGCCAAATGAGATGGCTCCTTCTTTGGAGAGTCATCTGAAACATGATTATTTGCGTAATTTTTTCCGAAACATGGTTATTTGTGATTTTTTTTTAATACCTGATTATTCCAAAAAAAAATTCTACAAATAAAACACGGTAATTTTTGTTAAAACTAGTTAAAAGCTTCAAGAAAACTAAGTTGTTTACCTTGGACACTTAGCAGCTAAATTATTTTTAGAGAAAGTTGTCATTTATTGTGGTTATTTCCTACTCAAAAAATTGATCTTTGTAGTCTGAATGCAGAGAGTTCTCAATTTTTCCTCGATTTATATCGGAATTTTTTTTTTCAAACATGCATTAGAGTTTTCACAGTTGACACAAGAAAAAACAAACACAATATCTGAAATATAAAATGATTACAAAGCTTTAAATCCAGTACAAGATTGATACATTTTTGGCTCCAAAAAATTACAAATAATTATAATTATACTCCGAATACGACACGACACTGATACGGCAACATCAATAATAATTTAAAAAATAAATAGATTAAACATAATCATAATCGATGTAAGTGTTGGATACCGACACAAAAACATAGACATTTTTTTTCATATACAAACTATTACTATTATTCGAGAAAGAGCAATACAAGAAAATGTAAGTTTCATTGTGTTTCTGTTTGTAGAGAAATAACAGAAAAACTATATGCATCAAAGTTTTTTCTTATATTATATGATGAGATTAAATATGAACAAAAAGTGCCATGTGGTGATCTCAGATGGTAGCACATGGCTTCTCATATTCCAACATTAATAAAACAAATAATAGTACAAACTAGTGGCAAGAGTTTTGGAGGGTTTTTCAATAGTATCACTTAAATTACAAAGGAAACAACCAAATTAGTCTTACTAAATTACTCATTATAATAATCAAAACCCTCTCTTTTTACCCTATTTTTTGCTCCAATGCACAACTTGGGAACTGTGTGTTACTTTCATAACAAGAACTATTTTTCATTACAATGCAAACCCTCTTTTTTCTTCTTTCAAATAGATCATGGAAACAACATTTTCAGTTTCAAATCCTTGTTGAACAACAATATCTAGTATTATTTAATTCTTATATCATTTAGTATATACATTTTCTTTACTCTTGATCTGATCTGATCTAAGTTAAAGTCCTTTATATTAATTATTGTTATTATTTATTAACTAACATCATTATCATAAACTATTTGCATTTGTTTCACTTTAATTAGAGACTTAATTATAGTGTTTAGCCATTTATTATGGAGTGGAAAAGGATAGTTTCTAATCAAATTATGGTTTGTTATGATTTATGTTTATTCATCAAGATTTCACTCTCATATTCATGGATGGCTCTTTTTGCAATCTTGTTGCTTTTTTCCGGTGGTTTCGGTTTTTCATCTTTTCTCTTCACATCTTTGGTAGTGGTTTTTTCAACTTTTCTCTATGTTGTTTCAAAATACAAAGAAGCAAATGTTGAGGAGAAATTAGTACAAGAAAAGTTTCAAGAAGAGAGTTTTTCAGATCAATGCGAACAACAAGAACAAGAACAAGAACAAGAAACTAATGATGATGTTGTTGATCTTTACGCGACAACATCATCAAATTTGTTATCAGAAAGCGAAAGCCGAGAAGATCATTTGTCGAGTTGCGAAGGATCTGAAGAGGATTGGAGATTGAGATTCAAATATGAGAATGATGATTATTACTCAAATAATGGTTCAATCTCTGATGAAGAAAGTCTCATTGAAATTGAACTTCCAAGTGGACATTATGTTGATGTGCACAAAGAAAGATGGATGGAATTGTTATCAGAATTCAATGAAGTGATTGAGGAAGAAAATTTAATAGAGATTGATATATCAATGGGATCTATCAAGTACTCAAGGTTTGAAATTAAAGCATGATTTTGATTAATTATAGAACTATATACTAGTAGCTTTTATTTATTTACTTATATTATGTGTTAGTATAAGTGTTTGAGCTTTTGTTACCCTACAAAACTTTGGATACCTATTAAAGTTATGCATTATTATGACTGTTTTTTGACTTGTGATTGTTCATCATAAAATTATAAAAGTAATAAAGTTAAAGTTGTAAAAGGCTTGTAGCTACATAGTTGGTGGAAATTTTTCTTAATTTCTAACTCTATTTCTATTCTTGTATTATTAGTCTAAATTAATAGTAGAAGTTTGATATCACGATCAGGGTTTGTTTGTTCGAAATTAAGTTGCGACAAAAAGTTGTCAGAAAGTGTCGATAATGTTAATTATTGAGAAAAAATTATAGACAAAAAGACGTTATGATTGGGACAAAGCATTGTTATGGTCGTGAAATACCGTTACAATTGCAAAACACCATTTTTATACTATGATGAACATAAAATTTTCATATGAAAGTACGAATAACAACAAATATTATTTATAAAGATTGTAATTGATTCATACAGTGAAATTGTAACCGATATTTAAAACTTTGATCATTATTTGTTTTTTTAAAATCGGAGTGAGTTGCAGTGACTTTATAAAAGCGGCGTGATATCAAACATTCTCTAAGTAGAGTTGAAATTAATCAAGTTTTAATAGAATTATTGGGTTTGTTTTGAAGATTATGTAATTAGAGTCTTCTAATAAGGTATTTAGCTTGAAAAATATAAATTTTGAGCAATATATATAGCAGAGTATTTGATCATCCAAATTCTGTTTATTTTTGTCACTTGTTTTCTTTATTTGGATAATTTTCTTAATTAAGAATTGTTCATGCATGCTTGCATACATAATATCTATGGAACTCATTCAGTAAAAACTACATTAATTGTGATTGCTACACTTCAACTATGTTGCTAGGTGATTTTTCTTTTAAAGGGATAAAATTAAATTGATTGTCTTAGTAAAATAATTTTTTCAACAAAAGTGAGAATAATGCAATGAATTTAAAAAAAAAAAGTGTTGATCATGCATGAATTCATGGTTAAGAAAATCTTATACTATATGATGTTGATTAACATAAGCCCCTTAACTCCGTTTAATGTTTTGTAAATGAGACATGATAAAGTTTATGCACTTACAAATGTCTTATTTCGTGCAATTGCAATTGTTTTGGAAAGGGGATACTTATCTATGAATTTGAGGAGCTTTAATATAGAATGGCTAAAATTCTAAAGTTATTAACAAGATCTCTGAATTTGTGGGATTCAAGCTTTGCAAGGTGGGACTAAATAGGGTGGTTGAGATGCTAATAGTTATAGAAAACAGAAAGATGATAGTGGTTATTAAAATATTATATTATATTATTATTTGATTTATAATTTTTTAAGAGTTTTATTTAATTCATTTTTTTACTACTTTAAAATCGTCAAATATAGATGGTTGGCAAACGGGCATATGCCCAATTCATTTATGTCTGTCCCGTAAAAAAAAACACAAAAAATAAAATAAATAAATATAACAAGTATATATAATAGAGGATGTAAGTTTTAAATCTCGATCTGCCCTAAAAAATGAGAGTGCTATGGGAATCTAAAACCTTGGCCCGTTCTAAAAAAAAAGAGGACATGGTACGTGGCTAAAACTTTGGCACATCTCATAAAAAATGAAGGTGGAACATACATAGTAGATGGTGTGGGCCTAAAATATTAACTCGTCTTGAAAAAAAATGAGGACGGGTAGGGAGGGTCATGTTGACCTTTCAAACATAAAAGTTGTAAAAAGTTATGTTAATGTCTGCGTTCGCAAAAGCCAACAACAAATATAAGGGGCAAATATAGGTGCTGACCTAAAACTTTGGTTGCTCTAACAGAGAACTACGGGAAAAACGAGCATCATCGACAGATCTTTTAGGCCCTCACCTGTAAAAAAGAGATAAATATACAAACATGCGCAACGGGTCAGTGTTAGAAGTAATTCATATTAAGAAGTTGTTGTTATAGTCAAAAGCTTCTGAGGCTATTAGTCAAAAGTATTTTTGAAAGTTGTGTTGTTCAGAAGCTACATGCTTTATAACCTTGCTCAGCGTAGCTGAGAAGTTGTATGTTCAGAACCTTGTTTTGTATTTTATTAGCATAATTAGTTTTGTTTACATGGCATAGTTTGCTTACATGGCATTTGATTTTTTGTGTGTATTTGAACTAGTTTGTTACAGTAAAATCATAACTGAATTTTTCACCGTTGAGAGTTTGTTATGTTTTCTCTCTTCTTTCATCTTTATCTCCATCTTCAACCTTGTGCTCCAACTATTGGTATCTAGAGTTCCGGTTTGATTCATAGGGAAAGACGAGTGTACGTGAGGCCTGTGTGATTGATTTAGTTTCTTGAATTTGTGATCAGAATCGTAATAGAATTGTATTTCTTGAATTTGTGGGATCAGGGAACACGAGTGTTTGGTGAGATCTGAGATCTGAGTGAATTTCAGTGCACAAGAACGAAGATCAATGGCGAAAATAGATTGAATACAAAGCTTCTAGTGTTTGATTGAAAGAATTGGAATTAGTGGATGATTCAGATGCGTGTGTTATTCGGTGCTCAAGACGATCTTGATCTCGTCACCGGCGACTACGTTCCGGTTGTTGCAGATGTGACGGAGGAACGGAGAAACACGCAAAGAGATATGAGGAAGAAAGATCTGAAGGTGTTGTTTAACATCCACCAGTGTATGGATGCGAATGTGTTTGAGAAAATCATTGATTCAACAAAGATGAAGGTTGCGTGGGACAACTGACACGGTGCTACGAAGGTGATACGTCGGTGAAGAAGGTGAATTTTCAATCTCTATGTAAGCACTATGAGAATCTAAACATGAAGAATAATGAGAAGGTACCTGATTACATCTCTAGAGTGATTCTTATCACAAATGAGATGAAGGATTATGGAGAAACGCTCTCTGAACAAGTAATTATTGAAAAGGTACTAAGACCCCTACTCCTCAATTTGGTTATATTGTTGTAGAAATTGAACATTCTAAAGATCATAGCACCATGAGAATTGAAGAGCTGCAAAGTATTCTAGAGGAACAAGAATTGCATCTGACTAAGAGAACCTTTGAAAGAGAGGTGGAGCAGGCTCTAAACGTGTCTTCTAATAAGAAGAGTTAGAAGTAGTCTTAGTCAGAGGCCAAGAAGAGACATGGTGGTTCTTAGAAGTCAAGAGCCTCTAACTCTTATGAGAAGAAACATTAGAAGGGAAATGAGAAGCTTGACAAGAGAAAGGTTCAGTGTTAAAATTGTAATAGGTTTGACCATTTTGCTAAAGATTGTTGGTCAAACAAGGAAAGGAAGTCAGAAGAAGCAAACATAGCCAGAGGAGATTCTGATGATGGACTTGTGCTACTGATGGCTTCTGAATCTGATTGTACGTATTTGGTAGATTGGTGTTATATGAACACTGGTTGCTCAAATCACTTAATTGGAAACAAACAATGACTAGTTAATTTTAACTCTAAAAATAGGACAACGATCACATGTGCTGATAATAAATACCTTAATGCTGAAGGTATGGCAAATGTCAAAGTCAAAGTGAAGAGTGGTAAAATTGTTCTGATCAAGAATGTTTGGTAGGCTCCTGGAATGAAGAGCAATCTAATGAGTGTAGGCCAACTCATTGAGAAAGGTTTCTCAGATACTATGAAGAAAAATCTCTTGAAGTTGTATGATTCTTATCAGAAGCTGGTTATGCAATCTAATGTATGTGGACCATTTTAAGTAACTTCACTTGGAGGAAACAAATATTTTGTGTCGTTTATGGATGAGTTCACTAGAATGACATGAGTAGCACTCATCAAGTTTAAGTATGAGGTGTTTATTGAGTTTCAGAACTTCAAGGTGAAGGTTGAAAAACATAGTGGTTAGAAGCTGAAAGTTCTAAGAACTGACAGTGGAGGTGAGTACCACTCTATAGAGTTCAAGAAGTTCTACGAGGAGAGAAAAATTGAGCATAAGGTGACTGCTCGATACACTCCTCAGCATAATGGTCTTGCTGAAAGAAGAAATGGAACTTTGCTTGATATGACAAGGAGCATGCTGAAAGAGAAAAATTTTCCTCACACCTTGTGAGGAGAAGCTGTTACACAACAACATATGTGCTCAACAGTGGTCCAACAAAGAAGTTGAAGGAAACTATTCCTTTTGATAAATGGACTGGAGATAGGAAAAGTGTGAGTCACTTCAGAGTATTTGGTTATGTGTGTTACATACATGTTCCAAGCGCTACTAGAAAGAAGTTGGATGATAGAAGCAAAGTAATGTTGTTGATTGGGTACCACAATACATGTGAGTGGTAACACGTGAGTTAACTTCTGAAGATACTTTCGAATATGAAGGGAATTCTGCCTCTAAATATGAGTCAGAGTCAGAAGGAGACTCAGAAGCTGAAGGAGACTCTGAAGATGAGTTAGAGCTAGAAGGTGACATAGAAGGTGAATCTGATTCTGACGATGATCCAGACTCTAGGGGTCATGCTTATGAAGGTGGCACTTCTGGAGGTGATTCAACTTCTAAAGTTAGTCCATCATCTAATATTATTCCATAATCAGAAGGAGATTCTGAATAATTTAAGAGGACGCAAAGATAGACTCCGAAGATGAAGTCATTCAATGTTCCATGTTATTAGACTTTGAACCAGTTAGTACTGAAGAAGCTCTCAAGAAGAAAGTGTGGCTGAAGTCCATGAAAGAAGAGCTTGAGGCTATAGAAAGAAACAAGACTTAGGAGCATGAGTATCAAATGGATTTTCAAGGTGAAATTGAAGCCATACGGGTCAACTGGAAAACACAAAGCAAGGTTAGTAGCTAGAGGATTTCTACAAAATTCTGGATTAGATTACTTTGAGGTGTTTGTGCATGTAGCAATGCATGAAACACTCATATTGATGATTGTTATAGCTGCTAATAGAAATTGTCCTCTATTTACCTTGAA